GCTTTGACCCAGGCAGTGGCACTGTCATGATTTCAGCCCGTCTTCCCATTAGCGACCTTGGTTGACTCTGGTAGAAGGCGCCTAAAGACACCTGTGACACTGTGAAGTGACGAGGAGCTGTGTCTGTGACTGGGGATGCAGGGAGAGGTTCAGCATCCTCCTGGTTTTTATTAAAAAAATTTTATTATTTTTTAAAATTTATTTTTCAATTACAGTTGACAGTTAATATTACATTAACTCTAGGTGAAAAGCATAGTGGTTAGACATTTATATAACTTACAAAGTGATTCCCCTGGTAAGTCTAGTGCCCACCTGACACCATCCATTGTTATGACAATATTACTGACCACATTCTCTATGCTGTACTTTGCATCCCCNGAGGTCCCCAGGGTCTTAGGCATGGCCAACCCCAAAAGCCAGCTTTCAGGCCATACCTTAATTGATTTCATTCATGTAACAAATAGTTACATTTGTTACATGAATGAAATCCCAGATGCTCAGTCACACTTTCTTCTAAGTATGAGGTGTGATCAAAAGATACAGTGAATGTCTAAATAAAAAAAATTTATTACAGTAAAAGACACATTGCCATTAATCCCCCTCAAAATAGTCCCTCTCACTTTGAACACACCTATTGTTCTTGCCACTTTCTGAAGCAGCTCTGGAAGTCCTCTTTTGTGAGTGTCTTTACTTCGTCCTCCATCATGACAACGCTCTGTGTCATACATCACTTCAGGTATATGGCAATTTCTGTCAAATAAAAACATTGCAGTGTGTCCTCATCCACCTTATTCACCGGATCTGGCACCGTGCGACTTCTGGCTTTTCCCCAAAGTCAAAATGATTCAGGACATGGAGGCAGCCACGACAGAGCAACTAAAGACACTCACGAAAGGGGACTTCCAGAACCGCTTCAGAAAGTGGCAAGAACGATGGGTCAAGTGTGTTCGAAGCAAGGGAGAGTATTTTGAGGGGGATTAATGGCAATGTGTCTTTTACTGCAAAACATTTTTTTTAAACATTCACCGTAGTTTTTGATCACACCTTGTACCTTCCATCATTTGTCTTCTGAGATTGCATTCTGTCCAGTGGCTTCCCTTCTTAGCACACTGGACCCACGTCGTCAGCGTCCTTTGCTGGGCCCTTTCATTCATGACCTCTTAAGTGCTGGCACGCTCAAAGCTTAGATGTGGGATGTTCCTCGTCTCATGGCGTTAAGCACAATCCAAGCATCTCTCCATCAGCTCTGTGCTGTGCTCCCAGCTTCTTAACATTTTCATTTGAATGCCTTGAATAAGCATTTCAAAGTTAATATTTTCAAAACTGAACTCTTCCCCACATCTGCCTCTCCTGCAGCCTTCCC